CCCCATTGCCGTTGCCGAAAGCCGGTGCGCAATCGCGGCGGGGTGGCCGTCATAGCGTCTGGTGGGCCTGCACATAGCAGGCAATATGCCAGCACCCCCGCCGCCCCAGTCAAAAGTCAATGCACCGAGATCGCGGGGTGCCTGCGCATCATCCAGAATTTGCCTCGAAGTGCATTTTGCATGGTTTGTTGACAGGGATGCTGGCCCTGCGCGCAGCAGGCAATCTGCAGGCACCCCAGCCGTCCCTGTTACGAAGTGCTCGCGCTCCCCCGATCAGAATTCGATATTTTGCCCTTAGGTGGAATTTACATTGTTTTGACAGGGGCGGTGGGGAGGGCATCATTGGTCCTGGTCGGCTGCTGGTCGCATGGGGGAGGGGGTGTTTCTTTGCACCGAACAGTGATCGACCTTTTACCGAAGGGGAAGAAGGGTGGCTGGAAGAAGAAACCCGCCAGACCACTCGCGCCTTAAGGGCTGGTGGCATTTCAGTACGTCCCCTGGTCCGCTCCGCGTGTGCACTCGGGCAGCGGGTGCACTCATGTTGTTCGTGCGTTGGCACTACACCTTCGCTTGCTCCGCGTCTTGGGGCATCTCTGCTGGGCACTAGGCCTTCGGCGCAGGGGCCCACTCTCGCGAGTTTCGTTCTGCCTGCCGCGCTTCGACTGCAGTCCTCTGCCCAGGCGTTGCCCGGGTGCTCGTCGGGCACGAGTCGGTCCACGCCTCCTCCGCCGAAGTCCGGCTCCCGGCGGGGCTCCGACGGAGACAGAACATGGCCGAAATTGTGCCGCGGCGCGAGGAGTGTCTGCGGACGTCGGAGGTCTGGCGCGTCTTCCTTCCTTCCTGGCCTCCGGGTCTTGCCGCCTGCTCGTCCCCCGGGGTGCGGGGTATGAGTGCAGTCGACCCGCGTAGCAAGGATGGACAACCTTCCCAAGGGTACTCCCCTGGCATCCTTGCCCCCATCGGTCCATCCTTGGCCACTTTCGTTGGCCGCGCCCCGCTCGACAAGCTTGGAAATGGGCTTCTGAGGCCCGTGCATCCGCATCGCGCATCCTTACTACAGCGGAGACCCGCGCCAAGAGGAGACACCCTGCTTGCCTCCAGGTCTCTCGGGCGATCCATGGCTTTGGCCATGGAAAGCGTGGCGCTTCCCGTGCCGAAAACCAGTTCTCTGGGGTCTCCAGGTTCGGTTCCCTGTGGAAGGTCTCTTGTGTTACCAGCCTGGAACATACCCCTATCCTTATGCTGGGCATCTCCTCGTCACGATGCCCATCTTAGGGATTCCCTTACTTTTTTTGAGGGCGAATCCCTAAGATTGTCATCGCCTTTTGGCGTGTCAATCTTAGGGATAGGGATACGTTCGAGGCTGGTAATTGTGGGCTGGCCCGCGCTGCACACGGGTCGACTCCGCGCCCGCCGCTCGTGAGCCGCTCGGCCTCGCGGCCAGCTTCCCCCCGCGGACCGCCGACGCCTCTCGGGGCCCCGCTCGGCGCCGGCGTCTCTCGCCGCCGGCGCCGAGCGGGCGTTGCGGTGGTTCCACGGGCCCAGGCAGCAGCTCGAGGCCCGTTCGGGGAGGCTGCCCTAGTGTCGTCGTTTCCTGATGCATTGTTTTGCCGATCGGCGTGGGCCCTCGCACCCCCCCCCTTCCCACCCCCTCCTGGAGTAGATCTTGACTGTTTTGGGCGCGCGCCTGCTTCGAGCAGGTGGAGCCTTCCCTCGTGGGACCCAGTGCTGCCAGCAGTCTCACTAAGCAGAGGTCCGGAGCCAGACCCCAACGCCTCCCCCCCCCTCCGCACAATGTCGAAACGCCGAATAATGGAGGATGACGGTTAATAAATGACCGGGGGTCGTGTTCACGCGGCGGCGCCCGGGATGACGATTAGAAAAAACCGGCCGCGGGCTGGAAAATTATGTTTGTTTAATCGTTCTCTTCCAGTCAGAAAGTTGTGCAGAAATAGCAGAAAAATATTGTTTAATCGTTCTCTCCCTTTTTATTAATCGTCATCCCGCATTAACAAAAGCGCTCACCATGTTCTTCGTGCTTGTTGGATGCTCGTTGTGCATCCTGGGAAAAAAGGTACCCCAGGATGGTCTGTGCTGTGGTGGCCGGCGGAGGGTCTCCTGGTCTTGAAGGATGCTCTCCCGGCCCAGGGCCGAGTGTATAGTGGGGGGCGCTATTGCCCTGACCTCCCAGGAGGGCTAAACAAAATAGCACCAGGACGTCGACTGCCTAATTTCTGTCGAGGTTTGAGGCAGTCCAAATCGGTTTATAGGTCTGCAGTGTTCTTGTCAGCATCCTGGAAGGTCAGGGTGCACCTTTTGTTCCCTGAAGGGGCCCTCACGGGCCCCCTCCTCCTCCTCCTCCTCCTCCTCCTCCTCCTCCTTCTCCTCCTCCTCCTCCTCCTCCTCCTCCTCCTCCTCCTCCTCCTTGGGTACGCTGGGCTCCTCCTCCTCCTCCTCCTCCTCCTCCTCCTCCTCCTCCTCCTCCTCCTCCTCCTCCTCCTCCTCCCCCGGGGCATGACAGTCGTCCACGCTCCTGTCGCCCGCCCGCTTGTCGCCCGCCCCCCCCCCACGAGCACCGCCCCACGCCGGCGGCGGCGCCGTCGCCTTCGGCGGTCGGCGCGGCCGCCGTCGGCGGCGCCTGCCTTCCCCGGCGCGCTCGGCGACGGCGACGGGCGTCGGCCGTCGTCCTGCGTGCAGCGGCCTCCTCGCCGCCGCGCGGCCGCTCCGCTCGGGGCGAGCGGCCCGAGGGAGGAGGGAGGAGGGAGGAGGGAGGAGGGAGGAGGGAGGAGGGAGGAGGGGCGGCCGCGCCCTCCTTGCATTCGGCGACGGCGCCCCTCGCCGGCGTCGGCGGCGCCGGCGCCGGCGCGGGCGTCCGCGTCGGCGCCCGCCGCGGTCGTCGGCGCCGTCTCGGGGTCGGAGGGCGAAGTCTACATGCCTCTAGGAGTCCAACATCTGGGGCCAGTGCCACAGACCGCTCTCACGTCCTGGCCAAAAGCGTCTATCCCAGACCCCCTCGAGTAATGAAAAAATCACGACGGGAGGTTTTTCGCCATTTTCGGCCTCGCGGGGCCCTCACCGGGCCTCGGGAGCGTCAAAAAACGACTCAGAGGAAGGGGTCGAGAACTCTGGGGTCGACGTAATGAAAAATTCATTACGTCGGGGGTCTGGGATGGACACATGGGGTGCCGTGACGTCCATGGACACTTTCGGGGTGGATGCGTCAATGGACAGAGTGGCAAGGTGCGTTCGGCGCGGTGCAAGTTCGGAGAAAGGGTGGATCCGTCTACGGTACGTTCCTGTTCTAGACCAGGTCCCACATGGTACTCGAACCTTGGGGGAACGCGATCGAGGCTCGAGCCTGCCTCGAGGAGGGAGAAGCGGCATCGGCGCAAATTTTCGGAGCTCCGCGCGGATTTCTTGGGTCGGCGCTGGGCCCCCCCCTGGCGGCGCCGCCCCCGTCGCGAAACGCGCGCCTGCGCCGATCCGAGGAATGCGTTATTGCCAGAATTCTTATTTTGCCGCCGCTGTTGGATAATCCTGGTGTGAACTTGAATGGGTCAGTTCTCGTGAGGCGTGTGCAGGGGGAGTTCGCGCCCTTTTTCATACTGGGTCCCGTCAATTGTTCTGCCAGCCCTGTCGGTGAAGCTCGAGTCCCCCCTCCTCGTTTTATACGTCTCCCCAGTCGTCAGCGTCGTCGTTGCAGTCATCGTTTGAACGGGCAGTCGTCGGCGGCGGCGTCGGCGTTAGCGTAGCTGGCCTCCTCCTCCCTCTCCTCCTCCTCCTCCTCCTCCTCCTCCTCCTTCTCCTCCTCCTCCTCCTCCTCCTCCTCCTCCCAGGCCTCCTCCTCCTCCTCCTCCTCCTCCTCCTCCTCCTCCTCCTCCTCCTCCTCCTCCTCCCCCTCCCTCTTGGCGGCCACGCCCAGTCGCTGCCGCTCGAGTGGGAGGAGTCCTGGGACTCCGTGGACTGCCACACGCCGGGGGTCGAGAAGGCGGCCAGACCCGCAGGCGGGGGAGGGAGGGAGACACGCCAGATCCCCGACGCCCCCAGGCCCCCTCGCGCCGTGACAAAAATCACGGCGGAAGGCTTCCGGCTACTTTCCTGCCTCCACCGGGCGAGGCGGGAGGAGGAGGAGGAGGAGGAGGAGGAGGAGGAGGAGGAGGAGGAGGAGGAGGAGGAGGACAGCGGGGCGGGCAGACACGCCAGCCCCCGGGGACGGACCCAGTCATCTCGGGGGCCCCCTTCACTCAAACATCGAGACGTCGGGGGCCAGGGCCCTCGTCGTGGAGGCCCAGGAGAGGCGTCTCGCCGATTCTCTGCTCCTGGCCGCCTCGGGGAGCACGGCCCCGCCGGACGAGGCACGGAGGCCTCTCGTGGCCCACGCGTGGGAGCCAGACGCCTCGGGGGCCTCGGACCCGGGGGCGTGGCGAGGCTGGCGGCCCTGCGCAGAGAGTCAAGAGGCCGCCCCGAGTGCCCAGGACCTCGCCCTCCTTCCCACTCCACCTCTGCCTCCGCTTGGAGAGAGCCTTCCCCTCTGTCTCTCTCTCTCTCTCTCTCTCTCTCTCAACACCCTCGAGGCACTCGCCCTGCCCTGAGATCCGAGGACCCGAACCAATGGTGGCATCGCGGAGAAGGCGCGGCCATAGTCACGGGCCCCATCCCTCTGCGGCCTTTTTCTGGCCGGATCGAGTTGTGAGGGCCCCGGGGCCCGACAGCGGGCGCGACGTCTTGCCCGACTCGAGCAGCTTCTCGCGCCAGGGCCAGGACCTCAAGGCCCTCGGGGTCCTCACCCTCCCTCTCCCCCCCCCCTCCCCTGCCCCCTCTCTCCTTCCGGCCCTCCTCGATCCTGCCCCCGACCCTTGCAGGAGGGCTGGCAGATAGCACCAGGACATCGACGTCCAGATTCCCGTCGAGGTTTGAGGAAGAGTCCAGATAGGCCTACAGGTCTGCAGCGCCATGCCTCAGCACTCTGCAGGGTCCGGGGCAGCCCCCCCCCCCCCGAG